ATGACTGTATGCTCCCTTGGGAGTTGAAAAATATATTGGCTGGTTGCAAAGGCTCTATAACCACGGATAATAACTTGTGGACTGTTTCGAGACGACCCACAAACTAGTTTGTGATAAAACGGTATATAAAAACCTCGAATTATTATGATTTATTATTATTGATAGGGCTGATAAATAATCAAGACATCTCTAAACTGGCTACACATTGGATTTATATAGATGTATTTAGAATTGTTGCCGGCAACGCACAATTTAAGGCCGACCTTTTGGTATCCATGTCGTTAAAGGTTTCTAAAAGATGCAATTTCTAATGAATATATCACGTACATTGCTGAACAGATGTTCGATGGAACAGCCACGGATCACATCTACAGAATAGCAAATACATGTTTACTTCAGAGCAGGTATCCTTTGATGTAAAATGCAAATTCGCCCATGAAACAAACACATAATGATTGAATAAATTAAAAAAAAAATAGACAAACAATTATCAGCATGTTAAACATGTGTATATACTTAATAATATATCAAAGAATCAATAAAATCGTATGCAATAATGGAGTTATCATTAAATGTTTCCTACCAGACATTGTTTGGATAATGAAAATAATATTAACATCATTATCATTAATTATCTATTTAAGATATAGAAATGACATACATTACGCATTGTAAAAGGTTAGATAATAAACAGTAGATAAAATAATAAAAGTAAAATGCATGTAGAGATAGGCAAAACAAACTAAAATATTTCTTGCAATCTAATGAGATCTTTTTATTGCAATTGTTTTTTTTGTCTATTAATTAAAAATACCTCGCTTTACAACCCAGACATATATCTAGAAGTAATCAATGATCGTTCATATTTTCTATTTGCAGACAAGGGGAGACAACCAACATGTGCCTAACATCAATTCAAACCTCAACCTATACCACACAAATAACATAAACAGCATAGAAACTAAGATTTATTTGTTCAGCTGCTGAGCACAGATGACAACATTCTGGGAAGTACACCATAGGTAATTATATCTTTACTGGGTAAGCTTAGAGGTTTTGAAACGCCTAACTCATGGCATCCAGGACTTAAGTTAAAATTACAGATTAATTTTGTTTGTTTCTGATGTCCTGATCTCAAGTCAGGCATATGTGTCCACTGGTACACTCGCCTCTTTACTACTGTTACTTTCGTAAGTCGTTAGCGTAACATGATTTAATAAACTCCATATGTCATTCGTAGGCAACGTTTTGTGCTTCAAGATACATCTAATGTGTCTTGTGTCAATATGCAGGAAAACATTCTCAATATGTATTACATATACGGCATAGATTTACTTTCGACAATACAAAATACCCGTCATATGTAGTACACAAACATATCTACAACCTTTTTGTTCATTTTGTTTCGGGTACCGGTTTTGTTGATTTTTATGCTGATTTATTAATTCTCCGTTCGTTTCGCAGTATCCATTTTTTCCTAGAAACGTTTATTGTGTTATTTTTTTTTAGTTTCAATATTGAAAATAAGTTGTAAACAAGTCAAAACTAGAATTAATTCCATTATAAAAATTGCTCAGAAACACTTATCAACCATCTATACAGTATATCTGTATCGCCGGTTTCATGATGGAGGCCACGATGTCGTATGGATATTAAGTATTTGCAAATAAGATTTTTGATGTATGTTAAACGATTATTTTTCATACGCGTATCATGTTAAGTCCATTTCGTTGTGAAATATATTTTAATTTTGTGTCTGTTGATGAAATATAATCGAAATAATAATCTGGTGAGCGTTGATGACATAGGATAGTGCATGATCCTTTTTTCTCTGAAAATATATATCACCAGTATTTTAATGTATAAAGGTACTTCAAAAATATGATGCAAATGTAAGAAAACAAAGTGTTTGCCAACATTTGGAATATCAGAGCTGCATTGCTTTTCAGAGATGATTAGACAATTAAAAATCGAATGTTAATTTAGAATGTTGGTTATACGATCAGTAGAAACTGTTATGTATTTATCGAAAAATGTGCGTCATGGAAAAAAAGCGTTATTAACGATACACGCTAGCCGATCGGGCTATTTTTTTTTTAATATTCGTTGTTTTCTTTTAATTCTTAGTCCGTGTTTATCGTTGTCTCGATAAAGGAGTGCATCGTTTCAAGCATTTGACAACCTTATAGTATCTTAACGGAGGGAATTACTGCCTTGCTCCATATTTTGAAAATATAATCTACTGTATGGTAAACAAATGCCAAGGTCAGGTGTTCAAGACTCTTGATTATTTGTCGTCTTTCCCGAAGAGGCATTGGATAATATATATATGGGATTCGTCTGGTCGTTGGCTTGTGGTAAACCGTGTAAGAACTACAAAACAATGAAGAACAGGTTAAAGTGGAAATTTATTTAATGATCATCATATTCCTTCAAGTGACAAGGGATAACATATACCAGAGTAAAGTCTCCACGGCAGCCTCGGGGTCACCCTGACAGTGTTTATGTGAAGATATTACCGGCCGCCTGTACTATTACATAATTTGCTTATAAGTTCATGAATAAATGAACATTGTATACCATATGAGATTCACATTTGTTTAAATTAAATCAAACTTTAGCTCCCTATAGAATTCTTCTAATTACTCATAGTAGATATGTTCCTATAATAATTTCCCTGTCATAATTCATCCTAGTATTGCCTGATAATAAAGTTCGTGTTCTCTTCTTCTAACGGATTCTGCTACTACTAATATCCTCTTTCCTGTTGCCTTGTTCTTCTCTGCGGCATTTCTACTTACAACCGCCCTCCGATCCGCTATCTGTTGCTATAGGTACCACGGAACCAAATCAAAAATAGATTGTGGGTTTTTCCCTTTTGGGCAGAAGATTTAATAGGAAGGTGAATGCCTCGGGGTCTGCTGGTTGGATATTAAGGTGGCAGAAGTTTCAAAAGTTTTATATGTGGGTTGAGCAATATATATAGATGTAATATGTATATAAAAAAAAAAATTCAAGCCTGGTTTTGTCTGGGTGAGTTTATTAAGTCTGTAATTTGCTGTAAATTTTGGTCGATTTTTGGTGCCGAATTCAATAGAAGAATTCAATACAAGATGCCATATTAAAAAAAAAGTTCAAATTGGCAAAATATTCTTCAAAATGAGGTCAGGTAAACCAGTGTGGATAACCCCATTTAACCAGGACAGTGGTAAACGTTAACACTATCGTCTATGGAAAATCATTTGGTTCCGCGGTCCCTATATGCTCATATGTGTGACTCGTTTGAGTTCAAATCAACACTGTGCATTCTTATCTCTCGTCTCCCTATTCATAGGTGCCAGTAAATGGTTATTCTCAAAACTACCAACACGTAAAACGTCCAGAGCTCCAACACTTCAGTGAATATTGTCTGAGAGAACCAAGTATATGTTCTGAGAATAACTCCCGAGTGTCTCCGAACAGATTAACAACTATTGCTGCCGCCGAAGACAAACCACCTCTCTGAGAAAAACTTACGAATCTTACGGACTATACCAATTCAGAAGGAAGTATATAATGGAACAAATATATACTGTGTCAACACGGTGTTCAAACTTCAGGAGAATAATCGTGTGTTCCCAGTTGTAAGATAGATTGCAACCGGCGGATGGTCGGACGTCTGGTCAAACACATTGATTCTATACACAGTCATTAATTCGCATTAAACATGTATATCAGTGATCTACATATTCACAACAGTATTCTACATTTCTATAATTTGTATAAAATACATATGTTATAATACATTTTGATGAGGTGAAACAATATGCGATCATTTGAAGGCGGATCACCCGTTAGAATGTGACAGTAGACTTGCTTTAAATACAAGACTTTGTTAGCCTTTAGCACGTGAATCCTGATCATAATGACTTAATCAACATCTGACATTGTGGTTTGAATAATATACATATGAATAGCATTAGATATACCAACGTATGAGTATCAATGTTCAAATATATGTACAAGACATTATTACAGACTTTATTTTAATATTAGGCCAACCGGCATTACAGAAACATCGTCTTAATATATAACAGTAGTGGTGCCTTGTGCAATCACAAAGGATGAATGTGAACAGTTCCATGTGATCATTGTTTTTTGTCTGTGGTTTTTGTTAAATGTTTAATACTTTCTACTTGGCGTTGATGACAATGATAACATGGCAGGGGATGGGTGACCGATTGCTTGAATAAAAGTAAGTCACTACTCTACTCGGTATTGACATTTTTCATTCTTTTTTTCTTTAATACATTGTATATATGTTCAAAATCTATACATCGGATTAGAAGCGTGAGAGATATTAGGATGAATGTGAACAGTTCCATGTGATCATTGTTAACCCGCATATTTTTATTTAACTTTTATGTTTAAACTAATATGTGTAAGTACATGACAAATAGAAGTGTAAAATCCTAATCTAAAGAGCTGAGTTGTTGTAATTTGGTAGTGTTCAGTGCAACCCGTATGGACTTTCTTGTTGTTTTCACTGATCTCTCACTAGTCTGAATGATAATAATTACGTAGGTACATACAGGTTAATGAGTGTTAGATCGACCTATGCAAAAAGCCTAATCTGTTTTGTCGCCCAAATCACGCTCGTTGACTGTAAGAACGTATCTCGGATAATAAAGTAACATAATATTACTATTTTTTTTCGGTTTCCACAAGTTCAGACAGAGTGTTGCGACGAATCTGGGGAAACATGTTGGAACTACAGTATGTTTTTCTGTATCGAATATCAAATTACCGACTTAATTGACCTAGTTGTGGTAATAGAATCTACATCATCACTTATATCGATGGTTTCCAAAGATCAATATGACTGATTTTGGTCCGAATATTCAAGAAAGATGTATATTTGCACCATAACGGATATATCTTCTATTCGCCAACGTCATAGTAGATTATTGAAAGACCGAACGTGATTTAAAAGTACGCCCGTCTTGTACTGTAGGCAATGGTTATGGGGTCGCTAACATCATCCTTGTTGATTTTAGGGAGGAGTATTCGCCTCCGCCTGGATAAAAGTATTTCCACACCATAGCTTTATATTTGTACAAATCGCTATTTACATAACCGCCGAAGAGGTTAGAGTCATAACAATCGTAATACCACCAGGCTCCGTTCGCCGCATCAGCACAGTTGTTTTCAAAGTCGTCATTATCATTGTCGTACGTGGTAAATGGCTCGTTATAATGGTCAGCGAGCTGATCAGCTGGTAAACAAACATACATCTGTGTATCAACATATGATGACGAGGAAGCCCAAAAACAACGAACAATCATATATTGAACTAAAATAGTTAAAAACTATTAAACGATAGTGTTTCGTCTACATGTAGTAACATCAGTAGCAACAACAGAGCTAGACAAATAACCCCTTGATAGAACGATACATAATGTGGTAAGCAATGGTTATTATAACTTCTGCAGCCAAAGTGATCGAAGCTGATATGCACTTGGTAAAGTATTCCTTATCATTGTAATCCGTTTATTAACTCATTAGTTTTACAACAGGAGAGGAGGACTGGTCATTTTGGATCACCTTGTGAGATGATTTAAGGGTACGTGTTTAAAGAGAACTGTTCAAGGCGTTTGAACAAAACTACAAAACATCATGAGCACCCAGAAAGCCGGATCAAAATAAGAAAGAAACTCTCTGATTATTGCTTATTGTATAAACATCCTTTATGTTACAGTATACCTCCCTTGTATTGCTACGAGGAGGGGATTGGATTATCAACGATCCCGAACCATATGACGATTCATTAAAGGGAACTAAACACGTTATTCTTTGACTACTTACTTAATCAACTATAAAGGTGCTAATCCCCGTATACATTGTATGACGAACGCATCGATAGTTTGCCTAATAATTCAATCCACGAGGGGTGCTAATCCCCGTATGCATTGCATGACGAACGCATTGATATTTTGACTTCTTACTTAAACAATGAGGGTGCTAAACCGCGTATGAATTGTGTATGGCAATCACTTCAATACTTTGACTACTTACCTAATTCATGAGGGGTGCTGAATCCCGTATATGACAAGGTATAATAAGACGACTCATGAGAAACTGTCAGCGACGTGTATTCCACATACTTCAGGGAACCATCCCATCCACCCATTTCGATCCGCATTTTCAGGTTTAACAACTGTAGAATCCTGTATTTCGCAAACCCTGTATGTAAAATATATGAATTATACATATAAATAATTTGATACATAAAAGTTTATCGTGACGTTAATATATGTATAAAAAATAAATTTTGAAAGATGCAATATCAAAGCAAGAAAAAAGTCTACGCGTATGTTTAGTAAATGCAATATATGTGCATGTACATAGTGAAACGTATCTATGTGCCCAAAAGGAATACTTACTCTTTAATGAAAAGATGCTGAACTTACCTATCCAGAACTCTCCTGTCAATGTTCCAAACCCAATTCTGTAGCTGTCCCATGATTTGTTAAAGCCTACAGAACCGTCGTATCTATTGGTAACTACCTAAAACATATCCATGACATGTGAAAATATGAACGAGTAGTTGGTGAATTACATTAGCTAATGCAGGAAGTGAGATATGTGCAATTTAAGTGACCTCCAAAACTATTCACTTAAATTTTACTTGACGATCAAGCATGAAGTCATCAAAATATTTGTGATACTTATATAACATGTATATTTAAAAAGAACAACTGTTTATCAATTAAAACAAGAAATAATACTTTTACAAGAATTCCTGTTCAGATTTTAGACATCAGTGTAATGAACGCCTATATAAATTAGAATTCATGATGAGAAAAGGTTTTAATTGAGCTCTTTGTTCAACTGAACGATTTTGCGTTCCCATTCCTGAAGTTTTCCTTTCTTGATAGAAGCATGGCTAACATATTGTAACTAAGTGACATAGTTGATTCGATAATCAAAAACTTTCTCTGAACATCATAGTTTCGATTTCGGATTGTGGTTTAGTTGACACTTCGGTTTTCTCTTCTTTCTTTCTTTATTTAGAGAAACTTTATTATTCCCAGGCTTTAAGTGGGATACTTGTGAACAGCAATCAGTAAACTAGGGCTTTTGTAAATCAGATGTTATGAGAAAAAAAAATCAATCACCTGTAAGGAAGTAAGATTACGATATCTTATTCGAAGCCTGCTAACCTCATCATGTGACTCTGTTGTGATTAGGTTAAATCTTAAACCTGGTCTTAGTTAAACAGATCTCACTCAGTTATCCTCCAGCAATAAGTCTTATCCGAAACTATAACACCTTCGAAACATGATTACCATTAGTAAATTGTAATCTACTGTTCTCCTATTATGTATTTAAACATCCAAACATCTCTTTGTATGTTCAATACTAGCGAACAAGAAATTCACAAGGTATGTGCCTGATCACAAATGCAGCCTCAAAGAATAAAGATATGTTTCAAAAACTGCCCTAGTTATAGGTGTGACACATCATGACCCCTCTAGTCTGCCATTAGCGCTGGCTACGTACCGTCCAAGGTCCCCCTGCAGTATCCATGTCACAATAGACATCAAAAGATGATATTTGTAACGGATTGATAGTGTAAACTGCTGAACAGTAGACTGATGGAACATCTCCACAATGGTTCAAATCTATAAAATAGAAAATACGTGTTTGCTTTTTCATATTATCAACTTGAGCTCACCTACAATGAACTGTACACATTTAGAACAAATTCACCTGCGATGATTACACAGATATCGAATTCGTTAAAAGCGCTAAAAGAACAACAATAGAGATGTCGGAAACTTCAATAGACTCGTTTAAAGATGTGTCACAAAAGCAATCAAGCGTTGTGCAATATCTATTCTTTTTCTGCAGATTGTTTTTGTTTGATACAATAAATCATGAAAGGCATAAGCAACATCATTATAAATCGTTCGTGCTCCCAAATGACAGTGACACTTGCAAATTGTTCAAATGGATTGATAATGTCATGGAAACAAAGGGGTTTGCGGGCAATTAAACGGGGAAAACACGCCGATCTTAGGATAAGGAATACAAAACAATGATGCAGTGTTAAACACGATAAAAGACAATATACCATGGTCTCCATTGGTTTTTAAACTGTAATCGGTTGTCTATTGATTACAAAAGAAAATCTGCATGACACCAAAGAAAGTTGGAAGAAATAGAAGAAGTCGACGAACATGCAACAAGGTGTGTTTGTTTATAAGTCGCTTCATACGACCATACAGTCGGAAGAGGTCAGGCAATCTTTTACTCGCATTAATTGAGAACACATTATTTGACATTCATTAATCCTTTCAGATTTCCTATCCAAGCTTTCCTTGGTTAAAGATATATAGGATCTTAGGATTATATGAAACGAGTCTTAGGAGGTGGGTTTTTTTTTTGCAAGCCTTGGCGAGGAAAAAATAAAACATGGAGACGAGTTTCATAAAAACTAATATAAAATGAAAACATTTTAGATACTTTTTATCACATAGCTCAGAAAACTTTCATTCTGACAGGTTTTTAAGACAAAATAAAGAGGGCTTAATCAAACGGCGCCATTCACAATTGAAGAAGTCAAGTCATTGTCCATATTATGACGTCACAATCGATTTATGACTGGCACAGCCAATGTAAAACGCTTTAGAGTATATTACACTAGTGACATTTGTAAAAATATTACTCGGGCGAATTCACTGCATAACAGGCCGATTATGTGATAAAAGAAATTATCTGTTACGAATATCTTACCTGCTACATGTACTCTGAGATTACCTGCCACTCTGAGATTACTGTACCGTTTATTTTGAGATTACAGACCTGCCACTCTGAGATTACTGTTCCTACCAGTCAGATATTACTGTACCTGCAACTTTTAGATTACTGTACCTGTTATTTTGAGATAACTGTACCAACAACTCTGATATTACTGTACCTACCACTCTGATATTACTGTACCTACCACACTGAGATAACTGTACCAACAACTCTGATATTTCTGTACCTACCACACTGAGATTACTGTACCTACCACACTGAGATAACTGTACCAACACCTCTGAGATTACTGTACCTACAACACTGAGATAACTGTACCAACACCTCTGATATTACTGTCCCTCCCACTCTAAGATTACTGTACCTACCACTCTAAGATTACTGTACCTACCACACTGAGATAACTGTACCAACAACTCTGAGATTACTGTACCTACCACACTGAGATTACTGTACCTACCACACTGAGATTACTGTACCAACAACTCTGATATTACTGTACATACTACTATAATATTACTGTACTTACCACTCTGAGATTACTGTCCCTACAACTCTGATATTATTGTACCAGTCACTCTGAGATTACTGTACCTACAACTCTGATATTATTGTACCAGCCACACTGAGATTACTGTACCTACCACTTTGATATTACTGTACCTACCACTCTGAGATTACTGTACCTACCAATCTGAGATTACTGTACCTATCACACTGAGATTACTGTACCTACCACATTTAGATTACTGTACCAACAACTCTGATATTACTGTCCCTACTACTATAATATTACTGTACTTACCACTCTGAGATTACTGTACCTACCAATCTGAGATTACTGTACCTATCACACTGAGATTACTGTACCTACCACACTAATGTTACTGTACCTACCACACTGAGATTACTGTACCAACAACTCTGATAGTACTGTACCTACTACTATAATATTACTGTCCCTACCACTCTGAGATTACTGTCCCTACCACACTAAGATAACTGTAGCTACCACACTGATATTACTGTACGTACCACACTGAGATTACTGTACCTACCACACTGATATTACTGTACCTACCACACTGAGATTACTGTACCTACCACTCTGAGATTACTGTACCTACTACTTTGATATTACTGTACCTATCACTCTGAGATCACTGTACATGCTACTTTGAGATTACTGTACATGCCACTCTGAGATTACCCTCTACTTTATAACGTGCAATCGCTGCCCTTCTCTTGTAAAATCTATGTCTGTCCATGTTTGCCCTTTACATATTTGTACATTTCCAAAAAAAAACATTCCGTGTTACGTATACACTTCTGAAGACTAAGAAAACATGAACAAAATGCACAATGATATACATACAACTGTATCTGTGAAGGTATTTCCTTTATCTGTGTCTGACAAACGTTTTTTACGAAAGTAAGAAGGCAATCAACAAATGTCTCCAAATTTTTATTATATATTACACAGATCAAGCTTTCTTCGAAGATTTATGATACAGAAACAAGCATCTTTAATTTCTTAGCATGTAGAAACCACTCTAGGAGTCACACTATATATAATCTTAACTGAAGAAAACTATCATTGCTTCTAGTCAGCTGGTTTTTGTGTTCGTTATTTTTTGTAAAATTTTGCGATGGTTTAGGATAATTTCCATTGTTTTTGCTGTATTCTTATTTTCCAATATCATTTATCCTGTCATACAGAACAAACTGTACTTTTGTTTATTAAAGGCTCTCAAGAATAACGCGTCACAGTGAAATACAACCTAAAACAGATACCCAAGGAAAATGTAAAAAAATATACGTGATTAACAAATAAAAAACGAATACCTGCACATGTGTATCCAGTGGAGATCTAGGATGGGGAATAGAAAACAAAACCGAAATTTGTCATCAACATAAAAAAACGTGAAAGGTATGAACAAGCAAGCAAAATATGTGGGGACACCTGGAAAAATACAAGACAAATAAGACTAGTTTTTTTCGGAAGGACAAGCTTCTTCAGCTGTGTAGACATATATAAGATACAGGCAGGTTTATGTCCTCAAGGCGAGTATAGTGACCACGACACGAACAAAGAAACTAGAATATCTACCAACGAAATTAACAAAGAGACAACAAATCTGAAAGCTCAACTGAAAGGATGCGTGGACGTTTTTGTTACCACTCCGGGTAAAACCCTCAATCCACATTTGTACGAAAACAAACGCATGTTGGCTAGGAGAGTGTCACAGTTTTGTGCTGTTGTTGTTGAAATGCAAATCATACGCTGAAAAACTATGATATGATAAACTGAAATATCTATTGGATTGAAACCATTTGATTTCAAGCATACAGTGTGTCAATTGTTTTATTATGTTTTCAAGAAAATTAAGTTATTAAATGAAGTTGAATGTGAATTAATTCATAAGACAAGAAAGAAGTAGAAGAAGAACAAGAAGAAGAAATAGAAGAAGAAGAAGAAGAAGAAGAAGAAGAAGAAGAAGAAGAAGAAGAAGAAGAAGAAGAAGAAGAAGGAAAAAGAAGAAAAAAACAGCTATGAACAAAATTTACCTGGAAGTAGCTCTTTGACCGTTTTCACGTAGAATCTGAGTGAAGATGACGTGACGCCGTCGTCCCTGTAACAAATCTCCTCTCCATACGTCTTACATTCCTTTGTGACGGAGCTGAAGGAGAAGGAAATACACGTGGAGGTGTCACACGAACTGGCACATCCCAACTTGGAGTTCCAGGACGACGTGCTCAAAACTGACCCCGCGTGGTTCTGTTCTATTGTCTTTGTCACCTCGCTGTACTTGTTGTTAGTTATCGTAGCCGAATTCATTCGAAAAACGGTAAAAAGTAGACACAAACCAAGCAAAAAATTCATACTTAAGTTTGTAGCACGACGAATTAAACGTGCTTGTCTATTTGTTTCAGTAAAAACACGTAACATGGCAATCGTTGAAGAACAAATGACTCAAAAACTGATATACCATATACAGTTACAAAGGGTTAATGCCAAAGACACTTAACACGAAATGGAACGGAAATCCTGTATATGGTACACCGTATTAAAAGCGCTGCTTTGTTAAACTGTATGAACCAATATACAATACACGATCTCAGTAACAATGTGGAGCAAATGTCTGATAGACCAGGCATGAAAAACCAATAGTAAATATCTGTGAAGTGTCTCGTTAAGCAACTATCGACTGGTCGGTGAAACCACTAAGGCAATATCATACAAATATGATCGCTCAAGTTCAAAAAGGTTTTCGCAACTACTTTGTGGCATTTATTTACTTATAGGTGAGAAATAAACTGTGAGTGATGGATATATATGATTTATGTCGTCCTTGGACTAATTTTGAAAATGAATGCAGTTTCGTCAAAGGTTTGTATACATTTTCGGAACAAAATAAATTCCTAATGCAATTTTACGATGCGCTTTCACATTGACACAGACCAAACAACCCCCTTATATTCAAAAACAGGAAAACAGAACCAAAACAAAAATAGAAGAGGGTGCGAGGGTGAATTCTTTTATAAAAAGCAGTAGGTTATAACTGCAACCAAATACTTGTAACTTGAATATCCACAAACTAATATTAACTTGTCTTTGCCAAGAAATATGTTTTAATAAAATTATTTGCAATGCATTTTCATGCATCTCCACCGTTTAGGTACTACCAAGTTAAACCGGATGTGCATACGTATTAACTGAGCCACAACACCTTACCGCTGTTTATGATAACGAGTTTATTTAAGTGTTTTGTCAGTCACACCACCTAAACTCTTTTTATAATAACGAATAACATACGTGTATCGTTAGTCACATAACCTAAACTCTCTTTATAATACTGAATTAACATTAGTGTATAGTCAATCAGTCACATAACCTAAACTCTCTTTATAATGATGAATCAACATTAGTGTATTGTTAGTCACATAACCTAAACTCTCTTTATATTGATGAATTAACATCAGTGTATAATCAATCAGTCACATAAACTAAACTCTCTTTATAATGATGAATCAACATTTGTGTATTGTTAGTCACATAACCTAAACTCTCTTTATATTGATGAATTAACATCAGTGTATAATCAATCAGTCACATAACCTAAACTCTCTTTATAATGATGAATTAACATTTGTGTATTGTTAGTCACATAACCTAAACTATCTTTATAATGATGAATTAACATCAGTGTATAGTCAGTCACAAAACCTAAACTATCTTTAATTAGTCACAAAACCTAACATCGCGTTTTAAGTGTATCGTAAGCCAAACAGCAAGACGACACTTTCAGGCGATATCCCAGCAACGCGACGATCTTGTACGCTTTTTGATATTCACGTTTGTTTTTTGGCGGTAATTTGTGTTTAAGATAATTTTTGTGTATCTTTATCTAATAATCACGTTTGTTATGATACCATAGCTATGTTTTTGGTAAGCCTACTTGTGTTAGTCGTCTGATATTCTTGACAACGCAAAACACAAACCGAATACTTAAGTATGAACACAATCATTTCATTTTCATTCTCAAAATGGTCCCGCATCGTACCAAACTAGCATAGTTAAGGATTTTATTAGTTTCCCGATTAGTTGTGGTTTAACTTAAACACTTTGATTACACACTTTGATGACATATCTAAACGGAAATTATCGCATTTCAATCGATACACAGATAAACAAATACACTTTGGCGAGATTTCTTCCCTTGAGCGTTCTTGATGCACAGGATCAGTTTTGTTATAAGTATAAACTTTATTTATTTGACAACAGTTATGAAACAAGTTATTTTAATTTAAATAAAACATTCTTGTTAGCCCGGATATTAGCGCGAGTAGTCTGAATGTGGGCGAAAACTGGAGTTACCAGAAAAAAAGATCGTTTTAATAAATCAGCTCATCGGTGTAAATTGACACGCCGCAAATTATACATTTAGTAAACGTTTATGGCCGCACTATTTCAAACAACGGTCTATTTAAGATGACAATGTTATAAAATTAAAAAGAAAATTAAATTAAAAAAGAATGAGTTAAAAAATAATAATAGTACAATGAGACACCATTTATGATCATTGTAATGTTAATTATTATTTATCGCAACTACGTTATCTCGGAGAGGGGAGATAACTATTCTCAGAAACGGTACCCTGCGTAGTAATATGAAATGGTCATTATGTGTGAAATCAGCTCACTGGTTACACGATAATCGTTGTTTTGTATTCATAGTGTATTCATAGTTTAATGGTACTTATTTTCAGTTGGTAGATTCATATACAGAACAAGCATCAATAATGCAATAAAATCCTTTAATAGCGATCTTCTACAAATAACCATTGTTAAGGTTGTTACATATTCTGTATTGTGTTTCTATTTGATAGTAGTCCACACAATTAAACACTTTCTTCGACATTTCCTGTTAATTATTCACAGTGACTGGTATTACAAATATGGCTTACATAGGATATTATACAGTATATTTGCATTTATACCCTTACCTGTACTATCATGAAAGGATTTTTAATGCGACGTCTGATAAAAAAAAAAACATCTCATTAAATACCTGCAGCCAGATTAAACCGACCTACTATACTCCCTATACCTGTTGTTAACACATATGGTGGATTATGAAAAGTTCTTTTACACAAACAACACAATTTCCTATGCTACTTTTCGATGACTAGTACGATATGTCCACTGTCACCTTCATCAGACAAATGACCAGTGAAGCCTATGCACACACATGGGTAAATTGTGTACGAGTTGTTCACAAAATCGATTCGGCTACACTGTAAGCGTATGTATAATAGTTGTCATATATGTACCGAAATGACTCGATTCGGATACGCGTTGTTTAATACTTGGTTATAGGTGTGCGAGAGTATTTGAGCCCCCTCGTCTCGATTTAGAACTGGCCCACTGCGGCGTATCCATACTTACCAACCTGAAGGAAATGTTGAGAACATATGATGGAGTTTTCTCCCTTTTACTGTAACCTGATTTATCTGTTTTACTATCATGTATGACTTGTATGACTTTATGTTCTTTAGCTTTATTTTTGTATATAATCTCACGCAGCATATCTTAAATTAAATGCTTCTAGTTCCAATTTGTTTTTCTAGTTAAAAATGACATCATTGTCCCAATTTTTAAATCACACCATATTAGTGTATATCCGTTCAAATTTCATAGTTTGCTATATATTAGCATGTATGTTTATCACACTATCGTATTGGTTAAACCCTCAGCTTGTACACACTAGTATCATTAGCTACCTCCTGTTTATAACTTTAACTTCAAATGCTACCTGTCTGTGATAACTTATGTGCTGTTTTACTTTTGTACCTTTATTGTTTTTACTCGTTAAATTAACCTTTGAGATTGGCTTGCTATTTCTTAACTAGCTTTGAATTTACATGCATGCTGTTTATCCATGTAATTTATCATTTGTATCCTTTGTTTGTCGCAACAAATAGCACTCGGTGCTAACGTTTAGTGTTTTAAATATGCGACGTTAAATAACAAATCGTGTATCTTGTTACATTGCGATGTTAAAAGGGATCAAACAAAAACTTCATGAACAGGTGGCAACATTTATGAAAGCATTTCCCCCCCTTTTTTTTTTTAAAAATATTGACAAAAATGCCCAGACAGAAGTTTGTGAAGCTTGTGATACAAATATCTTACATTTGTCCTTTTTCATATGATGTCACTCGATCATGATTCCAATTGTCTTTTTACTATGACATTCATGTATATTGTCTGTCTTTGCAATATCGGCTTGGGCCGATAGACTTGTATACAAGAATTGAATAAACAGCATAATCACAATTATATTTTCTTTCTTTTCAACACAAACCTATACCTTTTGAAAATTGATACACTTTTATTTAGTTAAAATACATTTCAATTTTTATTTACATTTAAATCTTAATAGAACATAAAAACGGTACGTTATTCAAGATGTATTAATCAACATTTCAGGCTTTTAATAATGTATTGGTAGATCCTGACGTAACGTCTGAGAATATCAGTTGTACCTGGTTGGTATTCAGAACAAACAATTCGCAAACTCAATATAATCTTTGCGTTACACCAAAGGACTATAGAGATTGAGGAGGGTAGTTTGATTGGTTTCCCTTACTATATACCGTTTCATTTATTTGATGATCCATACCAATAAAATTGTAGCAAAACCGCAGATACAGAATATATTGCCGAAAAAGTTCATTCGTAATTAATTCATGTATTATATGCTTCATACGCGTGTATTAAAGACAAGTTAAAATAATCTGTGTCATATTTACAGACAAATTCTGGCAAATGAAACGGGTTACATTTGGTAGTTGCATTGAGTCCAACTTGAGTAGTAATTGAAATACTACATTGTGTATAAGATATCTAATTGGAGAACGGGGTAAGAGAAAAAGAACCATTCACACCCTTATGGATGAGATAGGGGAATCTCAACCCACGGCGGAAGAATCTTAAGTTGTCAAACACTCGGCAAAGCCTCGTGTTTGGAAACTTAAGAATATTCCCCGTCGGGTTGACATTCCCCTATCTCACCCCAATGGGATGTGGGATTAATAGCATCTTTCAACCCCTTAGGGGTGAGATAGGGGATTATCAACCCGAGGGGGGAGATTCCTAAGTTGCCAAGCATGAGGCTTTGCCGAGTGTTTGGCAACTTAAGAATATTTTCCCCAGGGTTGAGATTCCCCTATCTCACCCACAAGGGGGTGACTTATTCTTTTTTCTTACCTTGTTCTTCCATTGTGTATCATATTCACAATGTAATGATAACGTTACATGCTCAATCCAGGGTTGACTTTACGTTGTTGGATTGGTGACGTGACGTCAGACTATTGTTATGAATAGGGGAATCCCCCGTCTCAACCCTAGGGTGAGACAAGGAAATCCCACACCGGTAAAAGTGCGGATACACTTGTCCAAGGTAAGATAATCTATTTTATTAATTTAGAATCTTAATACGGGCTACAGCGGTGTTGTGGGCGTCTTTAGCTCTAGTAATTAAAACACCGAAATCGGTAAGAAAATGAGACCACTGCGATGCAAAACAGCGTTATTCCGTGTGACCTACACGTTAGGTGTGTCCAACTCGGCATGCTCTAAAATATCTCGATAAATGGTTACTCGGTCCGTGGATGGTTCTGTCAGCTACTTTGATTTGCCAGAGATATGATCCGGTCTTGGTAGCTTTACTCATTCATTCAGATTACAAGGTCTCCAAAGTATACAATTCGTAATTAAACGTATTCATGCAGCTTCCTAATTCGATTTAATTCCCGTCATGATCACCGCCCCTCAATCTGCTGACCCGGTTTTATCCTTTTTTTCTAGTTATTGTCAGCAGGCATTTTGTCTTTTAACTTGTCTTTGGACTATGAGTCCCAGGGATGAAGACGTTGCGGAGATGTTGAATTACACGGTTGTTGCGATTTCTTTCTTACATAAACATCACGCAAGTTGCGAGTATCTTAGTTATATACTTATGATAAATCGACCTAATATATTATACCTAAAAAACATGGTAGTATCTATGTTTGAGTTATGACCCCTGATAATGAATGATACCTTTCGCAATAAAGTTGTGATTGGTTGTGTTATAATGTATCACCAATGGTGAAAAACAGTTTATTACAAAATAAACGTATGCTATATGTTGAAGTTATCTCCCCTGATGATAAATGGTAAATTGCCGATTTTACGTATGACCTATGTTGAATTTCACCTTAACAGTAATTTAGATTCTAAGGTATCTATAACCGAGCGCCAAAATATTAATTATAAAATATATTCTAAATGTCACTTATATATTGTACGTATCACTTATGTAAATGTCCAAGATTTTCATCTGGGGTAATAACTATTGCTGAAATTATTCAGTTAGAAAGCGGACATTGTATAATGTATTGGGTGTATAACAAGCACGTGCAATTAGTTGTTCAATTGAAACACGGACCAAAATATGTCGGAGTTTAAAACAAACCGTCGGAATATATGAAATAAAATATATGAATGGTGTGGCAGTGTGCAGATAACTCTTGATGACGTTCTACTCATTATATGTTCTCTAACGATAAGCTTTGCAATTTCTTAAAATTCATTTGATATTCAGGTAACATGAATTACTGGTGATTTTTTTAATATCTTAATATACAAACGAATCGGGATGACATCGTTGCAACGTTATTTTATTGTAGATTCACTGAAATGAATATGTATATACAATGCACTAGATTTATACAAACAAATATCACGTATTGTACAATATTGGATCCTGATAGGAAACCAACCAGGCCCAAGTATTAATATGTCAATGTACTAGCGACATTCACTATCTTGTTGCTCAATTCAAGATAAGGCCGTTTCAATTAATATTATATATATGTACATCGGATAACATTTTGACCAATCACAGAGGATAGCCTTGTAGATGAACATGTGATATTTGATAACATTGTTACAAATCAAAGAACATAGCCTTATCAATGTACACACGACATGAGATACATTTGAGACCAATCAAAGACCTCAGCTATGTTAATGCACTTCCGACATTGGATGACAACCTCACCAATCACAGAGCATAGCCTCGTAGATGCAAACGTAACCTTTGGTAACGTTTTAACCAATAAGATAACATAACCACATCAATGTACACACGACATGATCAATCTGAGAGCAAAACTATGTTAATGCACATCTCTCATTGGATAATGTTTGAACCAAACAGACGACGCAGATTGAATTGAACACGCGGTATTTGAACACATCTTTATCAATCACAAAATCATAGCGATTTTAATGCACACGTGACATCGGATAATTTTTAGACCAATCAGAGTCCTTTTGTAGATACGTGGTGAAGGTGGTCTTAGTGGTGGTGGTGGTTCCATTATGATCATATCTGTTTTTCCGTTTCCTCTCACAGAGAGTCCTGTAGTTGAAGAGAAGGAAAACGACTGGGTTAGCGACGCTGTTCAAGGGTGCAAGTGACATGACAATGAAGAATGAACCGTTCATCGGAACCAGGTGGTAGAGGAGAAGGATGGAGTAGAACGTGAAGGGTCCCCAACACGCAATAAACACTGAAATGTAACATAAAAACATATTACAATACCGTCAACAAAGAAGGCCACGAAATACTACACCATCAACAAACAAGGCAACACTAGCTCCACCACACGGGAACAGAAGTTATTACGGCGTCGCTACATAACGGCTTGGTATAACACAAGGTTACACTACACGATGTCAATATATAGCATAGGATCAAAATAAAAAAGCAAAATGTATCACATCATCGACACAGAAAGTCAAATGTACTTCAGTATAAAGTCAACATACGGGATCAAAATATACCAAAGTCAAGCCAAAAAGACAAAATGTATCAAATTGTCAACACACAATGATAAAATATACCACATTGCATACATGTACACTAAATGACAAAATACACTACAGTGCCAACACCCTAGAACAAAATAAACCACATATTCAACACATAGAACACAATAAACCAGAGTCAAATACATGAGGAAAATAAACACAATGTACCACATACACTTCATCCAAAATAAACCATGGCGTCCTTAAAGCTGACAGTGCAGGTTTTATTTGTTTTCTTATTTTGTAATCTTCCCGAACTCTTCCTCTATCGTTTCTAAGTAAGTGTCGTCATTTTAGTTTGTCTCGCTCGGTATAAAAAGCGCATTACCAGTCAAACCGGTTATCTTTTGTTCAACATGTCCGCAAGGTGACACTGCTATATTATATAGATAAAACATTTTCACGAGTTTGAACCAACACCTTTTAACAGACCAGTTGAATAAAGTTGAAGTGAAACACATCAAAGATGTAATTTATCTAATAATATCTATTGACCGCTCAGTTTGACCCTGATGGACGCGTTCAGTGGGTTTTACATGTAATGTGGTTAGTAACCGGAGATTTCGGAGACATCTCACATGTTCGGGTAGGTGACCCATTACCTTCCAACGTCCGATCGGATAATTACACAAGGGTAAATTGCGCATTAAAGTTAACAAATATGAGTAAAATAGTGCATTTCAGAGTGTCTACACATTCACAAACACATCCATACACCAAGACGCACACTGAAAAAACCCACAGCATAAACTAACATTGACAAACTTTACCTCTTTGTTAACATAAAGGAACACCCACAAGGACAAACTTTACCACCTCGCTGACACAAGTGATGCAGTTTATCATGAATAAAACACACAAGGACTTTACATAGATTAACGTGAACACAGAAAGACCACAAATACCACATCTTCGAAACTCAGTAACATACTGAAAGGAAATATACTATTGGTTTCCACAAAATGCCGAGCTACTCCAGCACTATCATTTATTATTGTGCAAGATACGTGAGCGTTTCATGATATGTGTTATCGCACGTAGGAAATATTGTCGTTACATCCACGCTTACTCATAGAATACATGTAACACTAACTCGAACAGGAAGTTGTTTTAAAATCGGGAAAAACTTAATGAAAATTTTAATGTATTTCTCAGAATGTAAAACGCTTGCCTCATGTTAATCTACCCTACATTAAAACAAAACTGTCGTCAATAAATCCCATTTGACCAGTTTTTATTGCTATTACGTGTTCCAATTGACTCCATAAAATGTCTGATGTCTTTTCTTTAGCAAAGATAATGTCATGCAACTGATTTAAAATAGACAATGCTGAAAATAATGAAACAATTATACGACATTTGTTTTACAGTTAAGGTAACTGCGAACTTGGGACATGTGCATACCAGTTAATGGGATATATACACTAGGAATGGCAAGCTTAAGAGTGTCGCGTGCACTAAACACAGCTAATCCGAGCACTTCAGAGCCATATTTACCGGATTATCCGAACTCGAAATGCTTAAATTCTTTCAAACATAACTGGTTAGAAGTTTTTGTTTGTAAGCACCGTAAGCGAGCGGTAATTCGCATTCGTGTGGTATAAAACAAGGTTCGGAGACTATTGTGTTCGTTAATTACACTGTCGTCTGCCATAAATCAGACGGATCAGAGACTGTCTGTGTATTGTATTACAATTTCCTGTTGCAAAAAAGAAATCTGAAACAACACGCAGTATTGGTGCCGTTGTGTTTCTTTATTACAAGGTCTTGCAGCAGATATAATGAACAGTTAACGAGATATTTTTGCAAAGTTCCAAATTCGTGTAGAAGAAAAACATTTTTTAGAGACCATTTGTGTTTTTTTATAACAGATTTTGTAAAAACAAACTCGATATTTAGGGATTGTTTTGTTATTTGATTCCAAATTACTGTACTATAAATCACACGATGGATTAGGCGCTGACTCAGCATTATAAAGTTCCGCATTGTAAAGCAAACGGTTTGGGGACCGGTATAGTTCTTTATTAAAAACTTCCATTACATAAACACTCCCAGTAGAGGCTTTTGCTTTTCTTGATGATTAACTCCAGCTGTTTAAACACTCGGTTAAGGTGCCGTTTGGAATATTTCTTAATTACAATTTTTTGTACTTTTAAACACCAGGACACATTCTATAGTTATTACCTTATACGTTATATATGTCTTTTGTTATACATACCAGAAACCACGACAAAAGTGATCTTGATAGTTTTGATCTTTGCTCTGTGGATGATACCGGAGTCAGACTTGAGACGGGAGTTGGTGGTATACGAGTCGACATCAGCTAAAATATAAAGAAAAATGGTGACTTTGGATAGCTACTAGTAGATAACATCACCAGAACCTTTGTATGCGCCGTCTAGAAGTTGGATTCTTTTCGTTGTTTTGCATATTTTTATTCATGATTTACTGCCCTATAGCAGCAGCTTTAACACCGAGGAGACGGATGCCATTGATAACAATACCAAGAAGAAAGATTGATACATGTAGGAGTGATAGGGCTCCGAAGTGTTGCTTTTGGAGCAGCAGGTCGATATTGGGTTATCTAATGTCCAATTAGCAGAATAAATAAATCAGTTTTTCCGAACCTGCATGGATGTCAAAGGTAGCAGTATACAGTAGACGGTTGTGGCCACGGGTGATATTTTTGTTAAATGGCTAACCCCTGTATAATGATAAGTTAAACAAATAAAAAAATAAAACTGTACTAAAATTGGTATAAGCATGATGAAGTGGGCAATGTGAGCTTCACATTTGTAAAAAAAAAAAAAAAAGTTTTTGGTTCAATCCAAAATTTTGGCCATCATCCCACATGAAAAGCTAGCTTTACTGGAGGTAAAATTTTGACAACAGCTAACGACGCAAAATTGCAAAAAATCAAGTTTTACAACTTTACTGAGACCCAGATTATTCTGCAACCAAGTAGGTAATCTTTAATTTCAACCAGAACTTAGGGAAAAAATTCTAGTTGCGGGGGTCGCATTTTCGGTCAAAAATGGCATTTTTTGGCATTTTTGGGTAATTTTTGATGTGGTAACCATGGTTTTCACACAAGTGACATACATAGAAAAAAAGAGGTTTATACACTTCTCAGTACTTTATATGTATTGTTAATGTAATGCAGTTTACAAATATATATACATGTATAAATGTGTTGTGTAGGGTAAATCCGCTGTGTTTACATTTCCTCGACATGTGCATTGCTTTTCAGAGTCGGGCTATTTCTACTGTAGACAGCTACCAAAGGGTATTGATTTGTTTCCCATTCAGTGAAGAAAAGAGTCAAATCAAAAATTAGAATAACATTTAGGCTTCATCACCGTAAAAGAAAGACGGGTTACTATTTGATGGAGTTTGCAAACAAGTCTCAAGGAAGTATTAGTTATAAATAATTATATATTTCATTTTCATTCAATCCATTTTTATTTTTTTAACATAATTAAATTAAATTGTTGACTGAAATTATTTTATAATTCATGTCATGTCCCAAGTACAAAATGTACATACACTTTTACGTATTATGTAATCCATTTTATGTTTATAGTTATATATTTACATTTGCATGGCATTGTCACTATATAGCCTCTTTGAAAGCTGTGTCGTTGATGGGACTTTAATTACCATGCAGCACGAGACACAATTCTTAGCGTATTAATACAACACTGACCGGAACAATATCCAATGTAAATAAACATGACGGCTGCTGAAATATCGCTGGGCATTGGGAGACTTGACAATGTCATTGTAAATTTATGTGCAAAATAAAAAATGAAATACAAAATACTTTTATTACAACAAAAACAAGACTAAGGTCTGCAATATCGTACAAAATGCACATCGATGCCAATGCCGACAATGGAAACAATTTCAACGCTTATACAATTTATCAGAAATATCGTCTGTTACACTGCACTGATCAACAGGGATTCGTTACAAATGTCTGAAATACACATATTCTATAGACCTACTGACACATATGTTACAGACCTACTGATATGAGTTAAAGTTTCAAAGTACTACTTTGTTTGCCAATCAGCACGCGACAATACGCTGTTCAAACTATTGAACGAAATTGTGTGGACTGTCGATAAAGCGGGCATTTTTTATTTTAAATATAAATTATCAGTTAAAAAGAGCATAAGAGGTATAGAAATATAAGTATTGAACTGTTTTTGTATGGTATTTATGATTTATTTGAATGACACAGCTTTGCAAGCAAACAACATAATGCGCGCAATGCTTAAATATTTACATTTGCGCTACAACCCACTAAATGAACATTACCAGCAGAAATGCATTTCATTTCAGTATGAAAGCAAAACCTTCCGTGACGTATCACGTGGTTTACTTGTGATATCATGGATTAACCTTGCTCAATGAGAATCTTGTCGCTTCGCTTCGGTTAACATGGAGAATGCCCACTAAATGCCCACTAAAATGACTACGGTTAATTATTGGCGCCAATTTTATAAAAAATAGGACTGTTCCGTCAATGTCGTTTAAAGGACGAAGCATAAACAAAACGCAGTAAATAAATAAATAATTTATGAACAAATAAATAAACATTGAACGGCGTTTTTAAAACGTTCATGCCGGTATGAACGAAAATATGCTACATCAATATTAAACATACCTCAGTACCAAATAATTGGCTCCCTCAAATATTTGTTCGTGTTTTAATAAGGCAAAAAGTTAAACCACTTTTGATAAAGAGCTGGATTGGACTAAGTTAAATTAATCCACCGTCTAGTATATATCTTTTTTAATTCTGATATTTTCTCTGTATTTGCAAGAATCGCGTCTAAGCTTCTTACTGTGTTAGCTCTATGCATACCATCTCCATAACAAACATATCCATAACAACCATTTTATGATTTATACAACCATCTCCATAACAACCATCTCCATAACAACCTGAAATTGGCCTTTCGCACATGACACTCTACTGATAAAACATCCCTCATTCGTCTGGGCAATATCGTCACTGTAGCCTTAACAACCAATAAAAGCCACTTAAATAGCTGTCCCACCCTACTAAGGTACAAGATCTGTAGATAAATGACGCCAAAGGAACTATTCAGCAGTCCAACAGTTCCATTTTTACAAATGTTTGACTCTGTTGGAAAATGTAAACACCATTTTAAAGGTAAATCACTACCAAATTCGTGACATTCACTATGGCGATTCATCACCATAAAACACATATAAACGTATGGTCCAGCCGATGAACAACGGCCGTGACTTACCATGACGGTTCGCGCGATGTTGGTGACACCGCTTCAAAACACGCATGACGGCCGCTAAACGTATCGCTTTGTTATTCAGTTTTAAGAACTTGATGTCATTTAATATATCAAAGAAAATGTCTCTTCATGGTCATTTGTCTTATGTTATTTATGGATAGTATGTTTCGCGTAAACAACCTCGAAATTAGAACTATCATACAAAGAATATTATCAATATAAAATAACGTTTTCTTGTAAAACAGACAAAGACACATTACATATATGACTTTATGTATCTTAAATATCTAACAATATCCTCCTGTCAACACAATAGAAACGTTACGTTCTGTTCATAGCGATTTGATTTTAAATCTCTGCACAAATTCCGAAACTTGTTAAGTAGTTCATTTTGACGTACATTTTGCGTAAATTCAAACTTTAATGACTTATACTAGTAAATTGCAGAAAATAAAATAAAATAATTTTGCTCGAATAAAAATGTGTCTTGACTGAATAGAACGAAACACTTTTCACTTTTCCCCCTTAGGCGACGTAACGAGTATAACGTTGATCCACATTTAGAGTGTCAAACATCAGTAGAAATCGTGAGGTCATTTTATTATTTCGAGTAAAATTTCATGCATCATTATCATTTTCGGAAACACTATAATGTATGTGGATAAAGTCAATACTAATAAACAGCATGTTGACGTACAATGTATGAACAGCAAAATCTAAAAATGGGACAACCGACTCGTTCTTAACCGATGGGAACGATTTTGTGAATATACGCCAGTCCACAACCTCACATCTAGCTTCTCCTTCTAATCCCGGCCATCTTTTAAACTTTATGTATTTCACAACAATTATGAAAAAAAAGTTAATGAGCTCATGTTGATCGTTCTTCTTTTTCCGCACCATACCGTACATACAATGGAGTCACACAACATAATGCAAAATATGATAAAGCATCTAAAAACGACGTCATTTTACGTTACACAAGGTGTCACCAACATCGCGCGTAACATCCATACACAATATCACGTACTATGTAAGACAGTTAGAAACACCGCAGCTCTTTCTGTCTTGGGAGGGATGCCTTGCAACAGCCAAGGTCATATGGAGACGGATGACTACGGTTGGTTGTTATACATGTATATGTACATAGTTTTACTTCCTATCAACAGCTTAGGTAATTACAGGACGTGGGGTGACTACAGATAGACCAGAAAAAAGTACATAAGTAGGAATAGAGGATAGTTATATCCTAGGTAATGCAATAGGGGCTGCAGGTAGGATACATCAGACCTATTCCCCCCNCCCCCCCCAAACCGTAGCTTCGACGTATCACCAAACAAGTGTATATATGTTACCTGTAAGGTACTGATCACAATACAATAATGATATCGAAGATTTATTTTCTGCCTGTACAACGACTTGACAAAAATTGTAAACTTCATACGTCACTCAATACATGTCGTCCAGCCTATTGACTCAGTTATAGCTTGATAAAGGGATCAGTCAGTCCTGAAGCGTTTCGACACCTTTAAAAGGTAAAATGTTCTCGTACATAGTAAACGTTTGACATAACATATTTCGAAACTGATTGATCTTATTGAAGATATAATGCAATATTGTTGTGTATGAATATAGGGCAGAACAAGGTCACGCTCATCAATATTTGAAGGATTGTCATGACCTTATGTCTGCCATCACTGTCATTGACGTCACTAAGTCAAATCCGCTGTTTTTGTCTCTTAATTTCACATTCTTCTTACACATGGAAACAGATATTTAGGAAAGTTAGAAGCATTCTACAAGAAAGTTAAAAACGTAAACCGCTTGTACATGTAATACAGGTGACAAAAACATTTGATAAAGTTTCCAGGGCAAGATTGTTTTTTATTTAATTATTTATTTACTTATTTGTTTTTTATAGCCATGTACATATACATGCATTTTAAGTTGTATATAGATTTTTTAACTACTTGTATACACAGTGCGCTGTAAAGCACTATCGAGACTGTTGTTTTCAAATATTAGCTACAGCCTATTTTTT